ATATAGGGAGAAACTGATACTTTTTAATGTGTATGTGTGTGAAAGAAATAATAATAATAATAATAATAATTTTTTATTTGGTAATGCAAAAAAAAAGAGAAAATTAATAGTTGTCATCGAAAGTATATCGTGCGCCATGGTACATGGTACACCACGGGCTTCCTAACGTCTGTTTTTACAACGGACAGTAGTGATTGATGATACACATTAAGACAAACAATCGCCAGTGGTTCGTTAATCCCCACTACCAGTCCTAGTGATCAATGGTGGATGCATTTGTAGTACCATAGTCCTTACACCATGGGTTTACGGTGTGTGTATAGAGAGAGAGTGTGTGCCGTTACTATATTCAATCCCTACTTCCTTATGCATCTTAAGAATGGCATTCAAATCCATTTATTTACTTAAACGTTTTTTCACTTTCTTTAAGAGAGAAGTACAATTGATTAGAAGTGCTAATGGGCTTGTACTTGTATGTAAATTGGCAGGACTGTGTTTTATGGGCAGTACAAATGCGCAGGACCAGGGGCTAGCTTTGCTGGAAGAGTGTCATGGTCAAGAGAGCTCACAGACGAGGAGGCTAAGCCTTTCATCTCTCTAAGCTTCATTGATGGATCTGAATGGATCAAATTTCTATAGTTACCAAAAATATGTATGCCAAATTTACGTGTAATGAAAAAAGAATAAAATAAATCAAATTAAATTTTACATATTACTTAATCAAATGAAGAGAGTACTATGCCAAGTTTTGGACCCCTTTTCGACTGAGGGAAGGCGAGAGAGTATCCTCAAAATATACGCTTTAGACCATCAAAACAATGTTGGAAATTGGTGAGCGAAAAAGGTTGTTTTCGAAAGCAACAAACACTTGCTGATACGGTAATTTTTCAAATAATATTTGCCTTTTACTGATAAAATCAAATGCATCCAAGTTTTAGAAAAAAAATTATATTGAGGATATATAGGTATAGAAGATCGAGCTTTTCTTACTTATTCAAATGCACAAGAATAACAAAATCATATGCTACCAAAGTAGCATTCGTTATAGAGACAACAAATGAGAGGTTATATTATGAAGAAGATTGTGCATAATTTTCCTTATAATTAGGTATTCTAGAGCAATATATAGAGTGAAAATTTCAAATACCCATATAGGCTCAAATTGAAAATTCATCTACCTTATCACAGTAAACAGATAGTAGGAATAATGGCTCTTTTAGAAATACTATATTTTGTTGTATTTTTGGCATTTAAAATATTAGGTGTTATTTTCAAATAATATCTTTTTTATACCATGATCTTTTGGTAAGTATATTGTCTTATTCGTAGAGCAAGTAGTGAGTTTTTTATCGAACATTGAAAAATAAAGTACAAAAAGTCATGTTTAAATATATGTAATACCCTCCTCTTAAATGTGGAGCACGTAAAATGTGTGATATACACATACGTGTGTACGAGGTGATATACACATACGTGTGTACCGGTATACCGGTCAGCAGTATGGGCAATGCCATCTCTTTGACGATGGGCAGTTTCGGTAATTTGATGTCCCCCGTGATATATTACTGAAATGCCCAATGTTCGCACTGCTGCTTGTTAATGCGTTATATTGGGTGTGATGCTGTTTTTTTCTTTTTTTACCACTACTGCTTGTTAATGCGTTATATCGGGTGTGATGCTGTTTTTTTCTTTTTTTAAGGAACTAAAAAAGAAAAAAATATCTAGAAATCAACTATTGGCATCCACATGCATAACGATTGCAATTGATGCACTATTTTGATGGTTGTGATTAAGAATATGCATTGGACAATCACATTGGGTGGAGGTAAAAGTTTCCCGATAGTTGGGGACTCATTTTACTCCTTTGGAACTACGTTCCCTCCCATTTTTATAACTTTTGCTGATTTAAAGAGGCCACTAATTTATCTGTTTCCTTGTATTCGAAGGATAAGTTCATCAATCGTTGGCAAGATAGTTCATCAATCATCTGTTTCCTTGTATTTTAAAGATAAATTTGTCTGGTAAAATTAGATGCATTATGATAGTAGGGGGCAAATATTGTCTTATAATAGTGGTCTTTTCTAGCCTGAAAATAAGAGGATTGAAGTTCCTACTTAATTTCACAAGAAAAAGTTTTATAGCTCTTTTTCTATAGCCCCATTTCACCTTCCATTTCCAACAGTAAATTGTATTAGAAGCCTTCATAAACAAGTGTTTTTATCAGGTGGCTGAGCATGCTGGAGAAAGCTTGCCTTCGTGTGACTACCTTTCTCAGCTATTTCAAGCCCACGCGCTCAAACTCCACAATCTCAGTTTTGGAACCCAGAGACAGAGGAAAACATTACGGCCTCATTTGTATGTCTTGGTCCCCATATCAGAGCGTCAACTTTCCCTCTGTAAACTAAAACGCTCAATTGTTCTAAATAACTTATAATAATATTCAAGTTTTTGCCGAAAGTGGTTTTCTTTTGGTTTGTCATGTTAGGATATTTGGTATTGAAAAATACTTGTATGTATTTCAAAACAACATCTTAGTTATGTGTTTCTTTCCTAAATTGCCTTTATAGAGAGAAAAAAATGTGGGTTTGAGTCCCACATTGAAGAGGAGAGAATTTTTTGAGCTGTATTTAAGAGCACATATTCCTATACATACTCTTCATTCAAAGGAGAGAGGAGATGCATGTACAGAGCACATATTCCTATACATACTCTTCGTTCAAAGGAGAGAGGAGATGCATGTACAAAGCATGCACGTGGGCGAGGGCGCTTGATAGCGCATTTTGCACTGTAACGGCAACCATCAAGAGAGTTAAAATGCATCTAACTTGTAGAGAGAGTTAGAGTCCATGTAACTTGTAGCCGTTAATGGTGTATATAACCATCACTACAAGTGAGTTAAGGGGGCTGCATGTAACCACCTTATAGCTCTATACAGTGTTTAAAAAAACGTCGAGATTTCGGCAGACCGTGTCGGTTCTTGTACAAAATCGGGAACCGCCCGGTTCTAGAGCAGAACCGTTGGTTCCCACCCGGTTTCAGCGGTTCCTCTCCGGTTCTAGAGATTCCCAGCCGGTTCTAGCTTGCTGCTCCCTCTCTCTCTAAAATCTATGCGATTCCCATCCACTCTGCTTCTTTCTTTCTCTAACTTCCTGCAACCAGGAGGCAACAAATTGCAGCCATGATCTTCCTCCGCCATAACGAATTGCAGCCATGACCTTCCTCCGCCATCACAAATTACAGTCACGACCAACCTCTGCCTCTCCCAATCTCACCCCTTTACTCCAACCTGCAACTTCCGCCTTACTCATTCTTTTCCTTTGCTGCAACCTCCGCCTCCGCCATTCTCTTCCATCCTCCACCTGCTGAGTCCATCCTCCTACTCCTCCTCATTTCCCTGCACCTGATCTCGCGGCCTCCATCCTTGCTCCATCTCTGCCAACTTGCAACCACGCGCGTCTCGCGCTGCTGCCCCATCACCTACAACTCGCGGCTTGCTCACGCTGCTTCCCCATCCTCTTCCTTTGCGGCCTGCTTTCGCCTTCCCCCTCTCTCTCTCACAACGCACGGCTATCCCTCTCATTCTCCCATTCCCCTGTTCCTTTCTCTTACTAGAACCCATTAAATAAAACCCACAAAAGAAACACCCCCTTTACCCTTTTTCGTTGTTTCTTTTCATGTTAAGATTTCGTAACTTTCGTTTTTGTCCAACCCTCCTCGCTTAAATAAACGCCTCGTGGCTTTAGTTTCTTTTACTTCACTTTCATACCCAATACTCATTAGCCACCTCTCTCCTTCCTATTCACGTTTTACTTCACTTTCATACCCAATACTCATTAGCCACCTCTCTCCTTCCTATTCACGTAAGACCAGTGTTTAAAAAAACGTCGAGTTGAACCGGATTCGCCTGGTTCGACTCAGGAATCGGCGTGGTTATCACTAATATTATTTGCTTTGACATCTTAAGTTCAAATCCCCTCTTGAGCCATATAATATTAATCCTTTCTTAAGCTAATTTTTGTTCCCCCTTGGGGCATATAATAAATTAAAATGCTTTTTCCAAAATTTGTACGTATTTTATTAATTTTTACATTGATAACCAAATCTTTTATTTTATTTATTAATTTTTACATTATAAATAATGTAATGTACTATTTTTTTTACAGTTGTCAATAATACATTTTAAATTAGATAATATTTAAAATATTTTTAATTTGTTATTATTTATCTAATAAAATAATTATAAAATGTAAACTAATAATTATAATTTCAGTATATAATATTATAATTAATTAGTTGTAATAATTTTGGATTATAGTTAGTTAGGTTGTAATAATTTGGGTTTTTTTAGACGGATTAGGGTTTTTCGCCAAAACGAGATTTTAATGGCCATTCTTTCATTGATTTAGTCTACTCGTTATTATAGTCCATGTATAATTATATATTTTATCCGTGATAATGCTATGATTTTTGTTTTATGTGATGCAAATTTAATACTTAAGTTTATATAGGGAAAGAGCATCTCAATATTCACAAATTGATGAAAAAAATGAAAGTTAATATTGTGGTACCCTCATTTTTTAGTGGATTCCTAAAAAACAACATTTATAATGAATTTTAAAAAAAAAATTCGAATTTTTTTGAAGCTGTAATCCGACCAATTCAGCAGATTCCCGATCCGAATCGCCAATTCGTCGATCCGAATCGGTTTTTGAAGTGCCCGATTCGAGTCATCGATCCGCTTTTTAAACCATTGGCTCTATATAATGGGACCTTTATCTCATACGAGATACACACTTAGAACAATATTTCAGCCTCTCTCAATAGACCATTCTCTACAAATCCTGCAAGCAAACCAGTCCGCTAACTCTCTACATCAAGACATTAGTCTCTAGTATGTGGGTTCCAAGCTCAGGTGCATAGAGCTTAGGAACATTATAATTGACTTCTCTGTTTTTCTATATCTCGAGGACGAATTGTCATTCTTATGCACATCAAATAATGGTGCAAATATCGTATTGAGATAACACTCTTGTGTACCCGAAAACAAGAAGAGTTCAAGTTCCCTATTTTCAAAATCGTACCATTTTCTGCCCCCATCTCACCCACGAATCTCCAACATGTCACTACTTGCAATCCCCACTATTGGTTGTGTCTTGGCAATAAATAGCTCTGTTATCAGATTCGTTCGCTTCGGCCGAAGTTTTTGGATTTTAGGCTCAGACAGAAGCAAAGCAATTCTAGTGCTGCCGTTGCGGTAAGCTTTGGGTCACTTTAGTTAGATTTAGTCTGCTTCGGGACGATTCGATCGAAGCTTCAATCTCTTTGGACAAAGTAAATAAATATCTATATAAAAGTCTTGTTTTATATTTTTTTTGAAATTTTATTTTTAATTTTTTCATTTTTTTTATGTATGGGATTGTCTACAAAGAGAACATTTATGTTTTGAACATAGAGGTCACCAGTCTAAGAAGGGAGATGACCTTAAACTTTTCCTCAACCTGTCCCATGCCCTGGTAATGGGGCTGAGTTGTTTTAGGTAGGCACCCAATGTAAAATTTTACCAAAAGTTATGATGAATCTGGAACCTATAGTATCTGCTTATACTAGGGCATTCTCCAGAAGCAACGCGCTGTACTGCAGCGCAAAAAGATATGGGGACTTATGGCTTCATTCAGGGTATAGTATTTAATAGAGCAGAATGAAATATC